CGGCAGGGTGGGGGGGGGAGTGTGGCGGGGTACCGGGGGCAAGCGGCCCCCCGGCCTCCCGTTCCAGCAGCAGGGCGATGGTGGGAGAGGCAGCAGTCAGCAGGGAGACGGCGTGGTCGTGCCTGGCCTCTGTCACATCCACCCCGTCGATCTGCAAAAGTGTGGCCCGTCAGGGGGCCCCATGGGGCAAGTGAGGCGGCTGGGTACTGGGAGGGCCCCACTGCCCCCACTCACGGAGAGGACGCGATCGCCGACCTGCAGGGTGCCTGCCCGGTGGGCGGCGCCCCCCTCAGCAATGCGGGAGATGAAGATACCCTGCAGAGGAGAGGGAAGGAGAGCTCTTTACTACAGGCTGGCCTGGCCCTGCCCCCCAGCAGCCCTCCCTGGCCCTGCCCACCCGCCTCACCGGGTCTCCAGCCCGGTAAGGTGTGGAGCCTTTCCCCCCAGCGATGCTGAAGCCCAAGCCCTTGTCGCTGCGCACGAGGCAGGCCACGCGACGCTGGCGGAGGGGCCCCGGTGGCTCGGGCTGGCGCGGGCGCGGGCGCAGACCGCCTCCCCACCGCTCCCGGGGGCTGTAGTCGTCCTCGGGCCGCAGAGGCGTGACGGTGACCGCGTTCTCGGGCTCCACCATACGCTCCCGCCACAGCCGCACGTGCACAGTGGTGCCCGCGCCACGCAGTGCCTCCACGGCCTGCTGATGCTCGGCGTCCTGCAAGGCCACGCCATTCACCTGCAGGCCACAGTGCTCGTCAGGGCAGGCCCCTCTACAGGTGGGCAGGCAGCGCAGGGGACAGGCGCCAGGGAAAGTGGTGGGTCGTCACCGCCCCTGCTATCTATGTGCCCACCGCCTGTGCAAGCCCGGGGCCAGGACGCCCGCAGGCCGAGAAGAGCACGCGGAGGCCCCTCCTGCGGGTCCACGCCTGGGTTCCCAGATCTGGACACCCCTGCCACGTTCTCATCTGAGCAATCCCACAGCCGAGCGTGCCTGCGGTTTCTGGGCTTCTGGCCCCTAGCCTCCACCCTGACCCTGACTCAGGCCCTCCCAGCCATCGGGATACAGCAGTCCCTCCATAAAATTCGGATGTAGGACCAGCCCCACCTGGCCCTGCAGCCTTCTGTCCACTGGCCCCCCTGCCCCATGGGCCGGGCACACTGCTCTCAGACCCTGCCCTATCGTGACAGCTGTGAGTACCGGCACGTGGCCTCCCACGACGAGCTCACCTGCCAGAGCTGGGTGGCTAGGTGCACAGGCAGGGGCTCCAGGGCAGAAACCAACCCGCCACCCAAAAGTGTTAGAAGTCTGAGCCCCTCCTAGACCAGTCCTCAGGAGCAGATCCCTCGAGATCTCTGCTCCTGGCACGGCCAGGGCCCCACCCCACCAGGCCTCCCGCCCAGACGGGGATCTCTGCCTCAGGGGCTGGCATCTGAGCCCCCTGAAGCTCTGGTTTATGAGCTGCACGCCTCACCAGGGGTCCTGTGCTTGGGGCTCTCAGGAGAAGAGCTGGCTGCAGGGGAGGCAGCCGAGCACCTGACGGCCAGGATGTGAGGCCCCGAGGGCCCAGGACTTCACTCAGACAGGGCCCAGGGGCTGCCGACTCACCTCGAGGAGCTTGTCACCTACTCGGACCCCAGCCTGAGCCGCAGGGCCCTCCTCAGATACCCGGGAGATGAATATGCCCTGGAGGATAGACAAGAACTGAGCCCGAGAGCGTAGGCAGAGGCAACGGAGGGCCCTCCACCCTGCCCTTCTGGGGAAGGGGCCCTTGGCAGCTTTGCGAGGCCCAGAGGCCCCCAAGTTGGGGCTGCAGAGACGCCCAAGGGTGCGGGAAAAGCAGAAGTGGGACTGGGGTGGTCAGTGGGGCTGGGCGCGGGCCGTCGCGAGGTCCCGGGTGTCAGGGAGCGAGAAAGTGCCGGTCAAAAGCTTCCAGAGAATTTTGACCCCATGCCCAGCACAGCGGCAACTAGCGAAGGAAGGCGAGGCTGAAGAAGACCGCAGGCAGGCGGGGCAGCCCCGACCTCCGGGTCCCTGTTCATTCTCTGGGGGACGGGGACCCCACAGTCCTCAGGGCCACCAAGCGGCGCAAGCAGGACGGAGTGGGCAGGGCAGCAGTGGCTCCTCACCTCATCGTCGCCCTTGTACGGGGTGGAGCCCTTGCCGCCCGCGATGCTGATGCCCAGGCCTCCCGTCTGCCGCACGATGGTGAGCGTCAGCTGCAAGCAGAAGACACATACGGTGTCCAAGAACGGCCGAGGGAGCGGGGCTGCCGGTGGACTCAGCGGGAGGCGGGGAGGGCCCAGGCCCCCCGGCCACGGACCACCTCTCCCAGGGCTGGCTCGGGCCACAGAGAAGCTGGACGGGGCGGGTAATGCCGGGATTGAGGGAGTACCACCCGGAGAGAGCCCTCGCCTGAGAGTGACGAGGCTGCCCTATGGTGCCTGGGCCGGGGTGCCACAGGCAGGGAGGTGGGGAACGCCCAGCACCCCCCCGAGATTGGCCACCCTCACCTGGAGGCCAGCACCCTGTCTCCCCCACATCTGTGCCAGAGGGCCGTCAGGCACCCCAGGCCCCGGCTCTGAGGTGGCAGGAGGAGGCCTATGCAGGAGCGGGGGAAGGAGACGCAGTGCCCGCAGCCCGGGAAGCGAGGCCAGCGGCAGCCCGGGGTACAGAGCACAGGGCGGCAAGCGAGTAGCAGCAGCCTGGGGTACAGAGCACAGGGCGACAAGCGAGTACAGACCTCTTCCTCCTCAATGCGAGCGGGCTCTATCAGCAGGTTATTGGCCTGGTCAAACGACACCCCCTGTCAGGACAGGACCAGCAAGGGCATGCAGGTCAGCTACGCCCAGCCCCGCCACCGCCTTGCCCGGCCCCACCTCGAGCAGGAAAGAGAGAAAAGACCACACCAAGCTCCCACAGCCTGAGTGCCAGGCCCTTCCTGCCTGTGCCTGTGCCTGTGCCTGGCGCTGCCCCCAGGCACGGGGTCCCCTCCAGTCTGGAGGCCTGGCTGCTTCTGCCAACCTGCCAAACGGGGTCACAGGGGGGCCCAACCACGGGCTGAGCCTAGGCCTGGCTGTCCAGGCTTTGACTGTCCAAGGCCCTCTCAGCTATCACGGCATCATGCCGCCGTGCTCAGGGCAGAATCACTGACGATGCAAACGCAGGGGCACTGTGGCAGCGGGGCAGCCCACGGAGGAGACCGGACACCAGGGGCCCCGTGAGAGGCACCTGAAGACCAGGGCAAGGAAGCGGGTGAGGGCCCCACGGCCGGCCTGAAGGCCAGCCCTCAGGAGAGCCAGGGAAGGCAGAGGAGCCCGGGCAGAGAAGAGTGGCCGCCCGAGCCCTGGGATGGGGCTGCAAGGCCAGCAGGGAGCTCTGGGTGGAGTCAGCAGCCAGCCTGGGGAGGAGGGCGGGCGGGTGGGGACAGGCACCCCCCTCAGCAACTGGTTTCAAGACACGGACCTCAAGCGTCACCTGAGGTCCCGCCAGCGCGGACCGAGGGGCCTGGCCGGCCTGGCCTGGGCTGGCGCGTGGGGTCAGACCCACCTTGACAGAGGGTGCAGAAGCCACAGCTCCCTCGCTCTCCCCCTCCTCGCCAGCCTCCTCGGCTCCTGCCGCTGCCACCGCCGCCGCCGCCTCCTCGGCTTCCTCCTCCTCCTCCTCCTCCTCCTCCTC